TATACCTATTGCACAGATGAATGGTTACCTGGACTCAATAGCCGAATAGATAACGTATTCAACGTTCAAAACGAAAAGTACTGGGTCGGTGTCCCGAAATCAACATCAATTCTGGGATGCATATATATTCAGGTGACGTAGGTGAAATAGGACGAAACGAGTATCCTAGATTCTACTGCAAGCCATAATTATTCTCTTATATACATATACATACAAAATACAAAAAACGGGAGTCGGGGATTACGTAATCTTATTTCTATTACACTGGTTGTTGTGATCTGCTAATGTGGATGTTGAAGGTATAAAGTAAAGTATATGAAAATCCCCCTTTTTATTGTTATAATATATATATAAAGAGGTAAACAATGATAAATTTAAGGTCAATAAGAACCAATCAACATCGAGGTGCACGGAACAAGCTGTGAAACACATATGGAGAAATTCGAACACTTCACTTCTATCTGAAGTTTGTGCTTATGATGTCGTTCAGAATAACGATGAAAGCTCCACGATCAAACCATCCAGCTCAGAGAACAAAACTCCACCGAAACCTTTTTATGATATATAAATATGAAAATCAAGTATGATCCATGTAAGATGAAGTACAGATGTGAAAAACACGAAAAAAAATCACAAATTGTATGCTTCAAGAGCATGGATATTTAATGTTAAATGATTTAAACAGAAAATCTACCTCTTTCCAATAGTTGAATTTTGTTTTGAACATTGAAGATTCGCCCACCCAGTCAAATCAATTTCTGTACATTTAGACATACATAAACATATAAACCTATTCATGTTGTTGAACATATGTGGTTTAACATTTATTGGTTTCAGTCGACAATTTTGCGCTTTCAAAGAATTTATCCTTTTATCAAAGAGCAAATAAATAATCAGTATTAGTATGGAGATTGTTGAGATCATGAATCGATACAAGTTGAACAACTATCAAAAAAATGAAAGCTGTTTCATCCTAGTTTGAGACTACTTAACAATATCCATTTATGACCCAGAAATCAGGATCCAATTCAGCAACTTTGATCTCGTGCGCAAATGTCTAATCTCTGGACTACTGAGTCTGGATTCAATTATGTGCATGTCTAACTTCAATCAGTTCACAATATTGTGCAACACTTATTCATTACACGTGGCATAAAACGATCTCCCAGATAACACTGTTAAATCTAAATGATCAGCTCTTCTCATTAGAACATCAGGAATCGCATCTTGAAGGTTGTTAGCGGGACATAAATTGTATGAAAACATGCTCAATGCACGATTGCGTTGGTGCACGTTGATTGGCTAATGCTTATCCAATCAGAGTTAGTCGATACTCGGAGAACACTCTAGAATCTTCTGACGTAAAAACTATAAATATACTAACGTTTTTCCTATTGTGCTTCTTACTTCCATCTAACTTTGTTATTTGGAATATAATCCATTTCCTGTTCAACCGTGTTCTGATTTGGGGACTTTGTCGAGTGAATTGGTGCCCAAGAATACTAAGCAATAGGAATAGATGGTTGTAATAAGAGAGAATTATAACAAAGGTAGTCACTAGTGACCACATAACCATTATCAGTATAAAGTTTTATTTATCTGTAAATGATAATGGACACACATTAGATCATCTGTATTCTCATTTATTAAACAGACTATAGCAATAAATCATTGAGGTTTCGTTTTAACTCTAATATAATACTATTCATTATTCATTTGCTACATAAACTAAAGAGTTTTCTATCTTTACAATTGTGATATTGATTTGTAACATCAGAAACTTGTTTTCCATAACCATATGTATGTACGATCACTTATTCACCAAATAGATTTGATTATTTTGTTTAAAATTTATGACTATATAAATAATATTTTTTATTACTCTGTTACAATTAACATATGGTTCCAATGAACTAGACCCAGAGGTATTGCTTTTCTGTATACGGAGAATATTTAACCATAAACGTTTATAAAACACAAACAGGCGATGATTACATCTCAGTCCTACAGGAGGTTAGTCACGGCTCGGATAGCTCAGTGGTAACGTCTCTGACTGGGAAGCTGGGTGACACGAGATCGAACCCGTCAGGAAGCACCAGTTTCCTCAAGATTACAGACACACCTTGCTGACGAGTGCCAAGTAGCACGAAACCCAGGTCCAGGGTTTCCTGTCGACTACCTCCAACCACCATCTAATCTCACACTAGTGCATGCAGTGTCGAGTCACATAGGCTGGTGGCCACATTGCAACATGGTCGATAGCATTCGATCTGCATTAATAAGGACTAGACACGCATGACATTGATCGCCACCCAGTGATCAATCAATTGTGATGATAAACCTTATTTTACCGTCCATCTTTCCTAATTATCTCATGTATTCATATGTTTTAATCTGTATAGTAGATGAAATAAATCATTCAGGGTAATACATTTATGAATAAGCATAATTCGATCCATATATTTCGTGGAAATAATCTTTTGGAAAATATTTAGATGACATGCGAACTGAACATTAAATATAAATGTATATTTTTTGTTGTGAAATGGTCACAATGTTATTAGCAATATTGAAATGAATTATTATGAACTTTAACTACTCAAAAGTAGTATAATACATTTCCATCAAATTCTAGAATTAGGATCAGTGACAGATTAGCAAAGAAAATTGTCCTTGCGATGATTTGATTCACTTAGGCTGTAAAATTGTATTCATAATTTTTTTATCTGCTCAAATTATAGCCTACAGTAAAACAGGATGATGTTGAATAATGAGAAAATTTGAAATGGTATAGTGTCACATAAATTATTTGCGAAAATCAGATATTGAGAAGTTAGGTAATAACCGGTTAGTGAAAAACACTAAAGTGATAATTGCCCACTTGACAGTTATTATAAGAGAGTAATTAAAAGTCATAATAATGACTAATTAATTCTTGAGAAGAGTGATTAGAAAGCAAAGAAAGATAAATTATGAAAAGTAGAAAAGAAGAATGAAGAACTGAACATAATAGTTATTGTACGCAACAGTTAGGCTTGAAGTAGCGGAAAGCAATAGCCGCTGCCCTACATACGTTTTTCATATGGATTCCTCTTGAACCGGCTTTCCCACTATATAGGATTCGGAAGGAAGCTTCTGGTGAAGAGGAATAACCAGACTTCACTAGATGATCTATGATTTAGCTTTTGTCTGACTTCTGTGGTGTTTTAGGAAGCCAGGCATATCCAAATATAGCCCAATCTCTATTCCACAATTATTAGTAAATATCATACAAACCTAGCTATCTAGTAATCAATTCAGAAGTTGAGCTATAACACACTACTACAAATCATGGTTTAAATTTCCTCTAATCACCAAGAATTGTACCTGGCTGTTGTCTAAATAAGAAGGGCGAAACGAATTGATTTTATTGTTAAAATGAGTCTTGCTGGTATGTTGGATGACAAAGGTCAATTTGAAGTTCTCATGGATATAAGGTATTAGTATTCTTTCACGCATAACTTTCTAATGTCTTCAGTATGGCTAGTCTTTCTTACTATCATTGCTGCGATAATTAATTTGATCACTTTATCATTCAAAATCCTATAACTTTGTGGTATGGGAACATGGACTAATGCACACATATGTGTCAGACGACGTTAATTATAACTGGATATAAACATGAGAAATCCGTAAGTTGAACAGAGTCACACAAATTCACATTTTTATGATAAAAGATTATCATCACTGCAAAGCTTAGTTGTAACAGAAAGTTGGGGTCGAATTATTCGAGTTAGCATCAATTCATGAAATCATTAACTATTAGAATGAACCATGTTGACAAAGTCCTGACTTCTTGCTTCGAGTTCACGTTGCTATCGTAAACATTGGGTGACCTGATGTCAAATCTCGTTCAATCGTGCAGATGTATTCAGTTTTTTGTCCCTCTTTAGGTTGTAAACTTAAAAATCATCTTTTACATTTCATTGTGCGAAATTATTTCTTCTTCCCGAATAACATTTTCCTTCGCCTAATCTTTTGTACTATAACTGATAATGTTACTACTTCTACTACTCTGACATTTGTCTTCATTTCGCTATATTGATACGCTGAAAAAACTTGAACCAATGCATATTATACATAGCTTTAGACTGACTTATTAAGTCTTTTATGTGTGACGAGATCTCAGCACGGATACAGGGGGCTCGACTACCTTTTGCCAACTTGCGTCATTTATGGCGTAGGCGAGATATCCGTCTATCAACCAAAGGACATATTTACTGTGCGGCAGTTCGTTCGATCCTACATTATGGCAGTGAAACATGGCCGGTAAGAGTAGAGGATATTCCTATATTACTAGTATTTGACCATAGGTGTCTTCAAAGCATTGCTCGTATATCCTGGGACCATCGAGTAAGTAACGCAGTTGTTAGGATACGGGTACTAGGTAAGGATGGCAAATCAATTGATGAAGTAGTGAAACTTCATCAGTTGAGATGGCTGGGACACGTGTTACGTATGCCCAACCATCGACTACCCCGACGTGCAATGTTTTATGATGTAGGAGTAGGATGGGAAAAAGCTAAGGGCGGCCAAACCAAAACATGGAACAAATTCATGAATTCACTGACAAGCGGTAGGTGTAGACTACCTGGTTGGGATCCGCGAGACGATAGCAACCGATGGTTAGAGACCCTGAATGACATGGCTCAAAATCGTTTGCAATGGCGCAGGTGCATCCACTCTTTATGTTCTCCCAAATTCTAATCTTCTGAATTCTTCACGTCCCTTTTTTTCTCTTTCTAAATTTATTTCACTGGATTATACTCCTTGAATAACATTTTCAAACCCTAATGTTCTCGATTACTGCTTATACTCTTACTAACTCTACCACTACGGGATTTGGATCGACAACTGCATTTCTGTTCTAATGTTGTATGGCTACTAGAACTGATGTATGTAAGTACGAAGTTCTACGTTGTTACTAACTGACTATGCAGAAAACAGAATACACTAACGTATAATTCTAATAACATTAATATTTTTGGCTTAAAATGAGAAAATAAGATGGACAAATTACTAGTAAATAATACTAGTTAATTATTGCAAATACCACAGAATGATGTTTTATTTTTACGAAAAAAAGAAGTCACTTACAAATAGTAGTAAAGCCTTGTCTTTAAAGAAAAAATAACTTTGGACAAGAATATTGATTGTTAATAACGCATTCAGTTATACATTAATCAAGAAAAAAGGTATTACGTGAGATAAAAAGTAATCATCCGGTCACAGAGCTGGGAGAAAAAAAACACAATGTTAGTACAATTAAAACGATTCATTGTAAGTCGGTAGGAGGCGGGATAACAGAGAGAGAGAGAGAGAGTAATCGTATAACCACATTTTTCACGTGACAAAATTATCATTATGACTACTACATATTTTATTGCAATAATATTACGACAATTTATCATTACAACAACAGTAATAATATTACTGTTGTCAAGTTGATCCATTCAAATTAGGCGGGAATAAACATTTCGCTGGCATACTTCCATGATTACTACTAATCTCATTCATATGCATGTTAGTTTGAACAAGGGAAATATCTTTAACTTCATCAGTAAATAGTGGACAATTTGTACAACTATTCTTACGATGTATAGGTAAGATTGGTGATAAATCAGGACTTTGAAATGATATATCAGTGTAACAAACATTTGGACTAGTACTACCACAACGATATTGTTGTTGATATTGTGGTGAATTCATTTGAGATGAACAATAATCAATATGTTTGTAATGACCAACATTTGTATTAGTATCATCGAAATATATAACATTATCATTATTATCAATATTTTTAGAAATCTGTTCAACTGTAGTTCGATTCAACGTATGCATACTGACTGAATTATCTGAAATGAAATGATTTATTATTATTAAAGAATTATCTTCGCATAAACTTTTATCACATAAAGAATTAATTTATGAGAAGCTAGTTACGTTGTACAAGCGTACATACAGAATGTTGGGATTTCTATGTAGTTTTGTTCTCTGAGCTGGATGGTTTGTTCGTGGAGCTTTCATCGTTATTCTGAACGACATCGTCAGCACAAACTTCAGGTAGAAGTGAAGTGTTCGAACTTCTCCACATATGGCTCACAGCTTGTCCTGTAAACCTCGATGTTGATTGGTCATTGTTGACCTTTAACCTGTCACTGTTTACCTCTTTATTTTGGTTATACCTCCTATTGATTTGATTTTTGGTCCTATAGGAGATACAACCAAAATAACGTAAACAATGACAGGTTAAAGGTCAACAATGGCGAATCAACATCGAGATCTACAGGACAAGCTGTGAGCCATATGTGGAGAAGTTCGAACACTTCACTTCTACCTGACGTTTGTGCCGACGATGTCGTTCAGAATAACGATGAAAGCTACACGACTAAACCATCCAGCTCAGAGAACAAAACTCCATTAAAATCATCCACCTGAGCTAAAAATCTCCATTTTTATGGAGTAAATATCGTAGAAAAATACAACAAATCGTATACAAAGATGTTTAAAGATCTATAAATGTTATTTTGAAAGACATTTATTTAGTTAGCTTATGTAATAAGACCTCTTTTATTCTAGTTCAATAACATTTAATTAAGCTGTAGATTGTTAATATTCCCCTTGTAAATGATAGAGAGTTACTTTCAACAAGAACTGTTTTTATAAACAAAGAAGTTTAGATACAAAAGAATATGCCAATGTAAAACAACTTTAAATCATTGTGAAAAAATAAGAGATAAATATCAGAATTTTAGAGTTTACATCACGGACTGATCCTAGTTAGCCATGTAGTGAAAATCAGCAGCTCTTATTCACGAACCCACTGAAGATTGTTGAACCTATAGGTTTAACCTTCAGATTGAATCGAGATTCAATGGATTGTATAAATAAATTTAATCTATTCGCTATATTATACAATCAACTTTAATGTTATCTGTGGGTAATTGCCTCACATATGACGGTTGAACTTCATTGATCTCAACCTCTCACTAGGACCCTCGGAATTATTCTCCTGCAAGTAGCCACTAGAGAGCATATGATTATTATTACTATAAGAGGTATGTGGAGCTCATTGGATTTTGTAGTTCATGTCACAGACTGGCCTTAATTTGATACTGAGAATGATCGTGGATGTGCATTCCCACTGAGGAATCCCATATTAAAACAAACAGGTATCCAGGACTTCCTGATTTTTAATGGTTGCCTGATTAATGTTAAGTTTGTGATTTTGACCAAAAGGTTCACCAACTTTCACAAATATCCGGTACACTAGCAATCAGAACTATTATCGGTAAACTCGATTATGTTTAGGAACATATTTCACTACTTCCTGAGTGTAAAAGTCAAATTAGGACCGGCACCGCCGACTCATCTATGAAAGTTTCAGTTAGCTGAGTTACACAATTGTTTGGAACTTAATCAGGGTCATGATCTCTATTTATCGCCCCATATAACCTTAGTTTTCTAGAAACTTCCAAAAATACTAAATATATTAACAATATAGGTAATTATCCAAACAAACGTCACACAATCCTTTATTTTTCCAAATGTTTCTGAGAAATTTTTCTTCAGTGTTGATTGGATAAATCGTTTCCAGGGGTTTTGTAAGCTTCTGAAGATTTTGACGAGAGATATTTCTAGACATTCCAACACGACAATATAATGAGCACATTTGAATAACCTTGAAAAACTCACAGACCTATCGGTTTGCTGTTACAAAATCTATGAAAATATAGTTCAAGATCTCTTGTCAGTCATCTACAATGTAGGACCAGAAACATATGCATCAGTCCAAGTTGCTACACTTCATTAGCATAACAAGATGAACACCGGATTCATAGAAGCAGTTAACTCAATGGTGTAATATATATATAAAAAGATTTTATGTAAGGATATAGTATAGGAAGAAAGAATTAATTTGTAGAAAGATATGAAGCGAATTTAATCTCTTAGTTTAAGGGAAGACAACGAGTGTATAAACCTATGTCAGTTTGATCGATTCTGAGCAATGTCACCCGGAGTCTCCAACCATTGGTTACGATAGTCATGCGGACTCCAACCAAGTAGTCTTCATCTACCAATATGGCTCAGACCAGAAGTTAGTGACTTCAAGACTGATGCCACGTTTTGGTTTGGTCGCCCCTAACTTTCTTTCAATCATCACCATAATATAAATCAACAGTGCACCATTATAGATTAATGATTAAAAATATATAAGTTTAATACGAATACGGTCAAGCAGTTATCAATCAGACTGATAATAGTAACAATACAATTAAAATGATGAAATATGAATTAGGAGAATGGACTAAATGTTTAATTTATTAGACAGATACATCACATTCGGGTAATTAGCGTTGAGTCACATTCTAAGTGTGAGGTCTAATGATACTATTCGATGGTTTAGACTAAAATAATCGGAACCGGGTTCGAACCATCAAAAGTCGAGCGCCCTGACCATTAAGGCACTGCTCTATGTGGAGGATAATTAAACGAAATTGTCACTTTTTCAAATGAACAAAAAGCAATCAATAATACTAAGAAAATATGCGTCTAAACAAAAAGGAAGAATAAAAAGACAATTAGATCTAACATACCTTGATCTGTTAAATTATCATCATTATTCTTAATATCATTATTACTATCATCATTATAATAATTATCATCATCGGAACTATCACTATTGCCAACAGTATCAGCCCAACTTGCAGGCAAACACATTTGTAACGCAGCAGTTTCTTTAATCAATAAAGAACTTGATTCATTTTTAGGAGAAAATTTATCAATACTGAATTTTGTATGTGAAGATCCGTAATCCATTTTTGTTGATGACAGATAGCTTGAACATGCTGGTTGTGTAATAACAGATGAAAAGTTTAAATTATCATGATGATTATGACGACTTAAATCGTCAGATGAAGTTAATGTACGTTGTTGTTCATTCAATTCATTGTCATCTACGACCGTGTAACTACAATTTTAAATCGTAAGTTAGAAAGTTGGTTAGAAATATATAATAAAAAACCTATTTTGAATATTCGTATATTTAAGCCTTAAGGAAACTAGTTAAAGTGTAAAGTGATGATCATCAGTATAAACTGATGATGTCGTTCAGAAGAACGATGAAAGCTCCACGACCAAACCATCCAGCTCAGAGAGCAAAACTCCATCAAAATCATCCACCTGAGCTACAAATCTTCTCCACCATTTAAAGAATACTATTACGAAATATCCTATTGACTATGAATAAATAATTAATCAATTCAGAAGTATTAGTAGTAGTATAAGGAGGTGTTAGGATAATTTAAGAACTTAAAAGAATTACAGTTTAGGTCTATAATATCAGAATATTGGTGATGTGATCCAATCCCAAGGCCTTTAGATGAATCCGAGGAACTAGACGTGTTTTCAAGAGAGAAAAGTGATACGCTAGAGAAATCACAAATAGGCCAAACGATAAATGTCCGTGAATAACCAAGTAGTTCTCATTTCTACGGAATGAGACGCATATCGTGAATGGCTTACAAGTAAATAAACATCTCTCTCAATCTTTTCACTACAAAGCCAGTTGGGCTCCGTAGATAAGGAGACTATGTATCAGTATCAACTCATAGACACCACATGTCACAACAGGTAATTTGTTTGAATTTCTCCTAACAATTTGTTCAAATTAGTGATTTATAATGGTCAATGTACAATTCCAATAAAAAACTGACATTGCTCATGTTGTCTTTCGATAAAATATGACGTTGTGTATAATTGACAGATTCACCTGCACAAAGTATATAACAATCTCTATATTCTGGAAAACCCACCAACTGATTTGAATTATATGACTTGAAGCAAGAGATCAGCATAAAACAACAACAGATAATATCGATTTTCACCTCAGAACTAAATTTAAATACTCTTGTTAGTAGGATAGAGTTTTGACTATTCCATGTGTTGATTAGGCTCAAACCTAGATATCCTGATTAGTTCATTTCCAACCTACCAGAACAAGTGAATGCATCAACAAAATGCTAGAAGATTCTTACAGCAATGCCATATAAAATCCATTGTTTGTTAAAGGATTTTAGTAGGTGTGTAACTGGAAAATATATTGTTCCATCTTGATTCTTGTCCTAATTTAACAGTCGAGTCAAGTATTATGATCAGGGAATGCTAGATATGATTAAAATTAGTTTAATTTAACCATGTGATTGATTGATATCTTTCGTATGGGTTAATAGATTGGACTTATGTCGCAATCTAACGATCCAGGCCATCATTTTAGAACAAAATACCACAAAAGGCATTCATCTTCGCCTTCATTTCACAAATCAGTCTGTAACACAAAACTATATTCGATATTCTGATAACTGATGTAGAACGTTAAAACATTTAATTAAACTGGATTTTGTGTGCATTGACAGGTCATTATAAAGGTGTATTTTAAAAAGAAAAGACATGAGAAAACTACATAGATATACCTAGGTTCTTCATTTATTTCGGATGAATCAGAGAAGAGACTACGTCGACTAAGTAAATGACGAGAATTTTTATGAAGTATTGACAAAGAGTTACTATTTGAATTGCAAGGAATAGGACGATCAACTGCACAAGCTGATAATGATATACTATTTGTGAATGGATCCGATTTTTGTTGTGAATTTGATTTATCATCATTGATGATCATTTCATTTGATGTTATTGACAACATAACTGAAGATTTCGCAACGGATAGATTTTTCATTGAATGATTCTGTTCAAAAGCAATTTGCATAACTGACTCAAAATCAAATGATGGAGGCATAGAGATTGATGTTTGTACTGCAACTAAATCAAAAAAGAAATATATGTGAGAGAACAGAATCAATGTGAAGTAATTAAAACATACTACTACATAATTCGAGATATAAGATGCTAAAATTACGTAACACCACTTGTCAAGTAGCAATCATAGAAATTAGATATATTAATCAAAAAGTATTTTATTGATTTAACACTTAGAACCGATTCGACATTGTACGAGATCTTACATTAATATTACAATTTATTTGATAAATCAAAGGATTAGATTTATCTAGTGAAGTGATGGGTTAGTGATCAAGGAATGCGACTTTTGGCCACTAAGTTCTGGGTTCGAATACTGATTCGCCTATTTCTGTTTAAGCAACCGAATAGTATCAATAGCCTTCATATTTAGTATGGTTCATACCTAGTACCTGGTGAACAAATCAGTTTAGTCAATTTTTTTAATTAAAGGAAGTTTATGACAAATAGAGAAACATTGGATGAAAACATGAATTTGAAATGGTTTGGATTATCTCGTCGAGATGCAGATACATTCAGTTGACGAGTCCAAAATAGGACGAAACACGCGTCCTGGAATCCACTGCTAGCCACATTTCGTTTATTTGATAACAACTTATGTCTTTTAATTTCTACAATCAAAAAAGGATTATTTCAGAGAATCTGTGTGCATCGTAATGTATTTTAGCGTCACATTCACTGTGTAAGGCTAAACAGTACTGTCCAACTACTTAGACTAAGACTGATAAAATATATTTATGTTTAATAATCAACGCTGTACACTAATGACTTATAAATGAACTTGGTTATGTACACTACTTTCTTCTACACTGAATAAGAGTAAAACTTACAACAGTTTCGATAGTCTAATTACGCTGCAGATGAATCTGGCAATGTTGGTTTTCTTCTCAGCGCCATTACGAACGACTCTGAGCCATTTTGCCCAAAGTCTTTAACTACTGATATTCTGAACCCCAATGAAGTAGTCTGTATTTTAAAAAAGCTCAGACCAATAGGCGATTACTTCATGGACTGATCCCACATGTTTATTTGACCGACTATAGCTTTTTTTAAACATTTTACACCAACAAACATCGTCCATCGAGGTATACGTAACATATGTCCCAACTGATTCAATTGATGAGGATTCACTACTTTGTCAACTGATTTACCACCTTTGACTAGTACATTATGAATAAAACCGCAGCATAACTTATTTGGTCGTTCCCCAATACACGAGCGATAGCTTCGAAAACATCTATGATGAGAAAAACCTGCAGCCTACACACGCCTTCTGCTGTTTCTTGTTATCCGAAAATACACAACTAATATGTTATTAGACCGTAAAGAAAATGTAAAAAAGACACAACAATACAACACCTCTCTTTCCACTTACCTTCGCACATACAACTTGAAGTATTTCCTAGAATATAGGAATTCTTTTTCTTTTTACCTAAAGGAGTAGCTAAATAAACGAGAAAAGCACAAAGTTGATAATATCATAATATACAATCGTTAAAGGTAATACATAGCAGTATAAACCAACTGGTTATTGTTAGCAGAATAGAGTCTTGACTATTACATATTTTGATTAGGCTTAAATCAAAATATGTTGATCGGTTCATTTCCATCCAATCAGTGCTAGCGAAGAAATCCTATGTAAACAATTTGTCGCGAGTTTTATTAGAATAGACATTGTTTTGCTCAAAATTTATATTTATAAATGATTGATCACTGAGTAATAACCAATTTCAATTACCTACCTTTTTACAGTTGATTTAATTATATCAATCAAGTTACAACGTAGTTCCTAGTCTGTGTGATACCACATCGTGTACACTATGATGAGATTTTAGGTGGTTGATGGTAGCCGACAGAAAACCCTGAATCTACGTTTTTTACTATTTGGAACTTGTCGGAAAAGCATACCCGTAGTCTTAAACGAACACAACATTTCAAACTGCGATGCTAAGTGACGCAGATTTGAATAAAACAAAGAGCATCAATTCCCTTAAGATCGCAGGTACACCTTACTAAAGTGTACCAACCAGCATGAAACCTAAGTTAAACAAAATTTATTTATTTATTATTATTATTTTAACACATAGATATTGGTACAAGGAGGCACCAAATACATATGCGCCACACAAATCTCATTTGATATGTGTAAGGGCTTTGATACTGTCTACTGTCCGGGTGTCAAAACCTAAGCAGGTGATTTTCTTAGGGGGCCACGCCCGGAGCCGTCAACCTAAAGGTCGGATACACAAGGTAGTGGAGCAACGTAAGGAGATGCAGTCCCATGGCAGCCGGTGACCAACGATTGGTTCATACGCCATTTGTTCCTTCAGGATACTGGAGCCCATGTACACCATTGGTTTGGAATCAGGGTTTTCCAACTCCCATAGTTGAACTCTCCATGTCCACCAACCTGGTTAAAGCGCCGGACATTTACTTTTTGTCCTCTCAATTTCGTGAACAACATCCCCACCACGAAAAGGCAATGAGTAGGACTTCCCTGGCAGAGGCTATATACGCGTGGCCATGTGAGAGCATTTGGAGAGGGGGAGCGAACTCTCACTACTCTCGGCCGTACCAGGGCATGTGGGGGCAAACAAAATTTCCTACACACTTAGTCGATACGAGGTATCAAGTTGATGTAAATGTACTATTCAAAGTTAACTATTGAATATCTTCCACTTATGTATTCAGATATCACCTCCTACACATAATGAAAACTATGAGAATTGAATCGGTTAGATATGACTTTTGCTTCCAAAAATAGATTTGTATAATCATCTGTTGTGCCTTTGCAAATAATGAATTAATTACAAACTTGCCTATTTCGTTTTTATTAACAAGTAATTATTTCTAACAAATTAATGAATTCAAACTTACGCTTAAATTGTTTACTTATTGTTACTCTGATATGATCAACTATTTCTATACTTAAAATTTAATGTTTTTTTTTCTTACGTAATCATTAAAAAATAACTAACTGATTCTTAAATGTAAACATACATTTACGTTTTATTCTGCATCTTCATTTTCATATAATCAACAGTAATAATTAACTGATTACCCTTTCTGTCTTAACATGATATCTTATTATGATAATGTTAATCTACTTAACACCACTTAAATGTTAACGATTTTTACATTAAAATGTCAAACTATGTCAGTCAGTCAGCTAGAAAATAGGACCAGGCACATATATACATCGGTCCAAGTTCCCATACCTCATTAACACAACAAGATGGACACCGGATTCATAAAAGTAATTAATTCAGAGGTGGTAATATATAAAAGAAAGATTGCGTATAAGAACATAGTACAGGAAGAAAGAATTAGTTCGTAGAAAGAAAGGTATGAAGAGATTTTAATCTCTTAGTTTAAGGGAAGACAGAGAGTGTATACACCTATGCCATTGTGATCGATTCTGAGCCATGTCACCAAGAGTCTCCAACCATTGGTTACGACAGTCGCGCGAACCCCAACCAAGTAGTCTGGATCTACCAACATGGCTCAGACTAGAAATTATTGACTTCATACACTGATGCCATGTTTTGGTTTGGCCGCCTCTAAATATGTAGTATTACTAAGTTATAATGATGAGAACTCTATTGGAATAAAAAAGGTTCTGTGTTCAAATTATATTTTTAATTTTCTTTACACTTGTGTTACACATTGAATCAGTTAAGTGATTAATTTAATCAACAGAATGAGAATCTATTTATGGATGAAATCTCGGATTGATCGTGGTTAGACATTCATTGTAAATCAGGAAGCATCGGACAACTGTTCCATCCTAGCATAGGACTCTTCAGTGGTAATGAATTTATATATATATATATATATATATATATATATATATATATATATATATATATATATATATATATGCTTGGAATGATAAGTATATAGGAAGAGCTGAGAGAAGAGTTTGTATTAGATTTTCTGAACATGATCATAAAAATCTACATCTGAAAAGCAGTAAAGTGTAGTCATCAATGACCGATCGGATGAATAGTAAAACTCTCGAGTTCAAAACCATCGATATTAACTTCATTAACTGTAGTATGCTAAATCTTTGGTTATAATGATAATTCTGTAGGTAATTTTAAGCTGTTTTGACAGTTGATTGATTACCTATCCTGCTACTGTGTTTAGTAGGGTTTCAGAACTTTCCAGAAGTCCGAGGTCACTTGAAATGTCATAAATACCTTCGATTTTTTGTACATAAACTGAGCTTGGAGTAAAGTGTTCTTTTCATATTTCGCGCCTTTTCTTTCGTGTTCAAGTTGTCGTGCAGAGTTAGCCTGAGGTTATTAGAAGAGCTTAGGAAACCGACATAAGCATTCAGTCAGAAGATTTATCACTGCTAAATTCAACTTTATCAAAACGACCGAATGCATTGTAGTGATTATTTCTTTCTATTACATCATAGAACTCAGTTAGTTAGTTAGTTACATCCATCATAGAAACTAACAAATATATGCGTCAGCTCAATTTGTCCCACAACATTAGCACCGTGAGATAAAAATATCAAGATAAATCTCAGAGTAGAAGTGGTAACATAATTAATAGTAGTAGGAAAAATCAAGTGTAAAAAAACTAAAGGTGTTAAAAGTTCAGGATTCATGAGCTAGACAAAGAGTGAACGTACCTACATCTGAAACTCGATAATCTATACGATATTACCATGAATAAGTTTAATTCATAAGCACCAGTCATAAACATTTTGATTGTTTAACTCATTACAGAATCGAGTACAATTAATATCTTCCTAATGTATTGAATAAATCACACTAAAAGCTATCAACGCCTGTAAGATTATGAAATCATCATCAATGAAAAGAAACTTTTCGGGTAAACGTTATCATTCACATATGATCACACACACACAGACATGCACACTGAGCAACATTTGATTTCTAGTAAAGAGTATTAAGTGTTTCACGTATGAAGATATAAAGGTTTAATAATATGCTATACACATATGTATTGTGCGACAATAGGTAAAGTAGAACAATAGTAGAAATTATGTTTATTTCTATTTACCTGTAGGTAGAAGAGATGAAGTCCTTGGGAGACAACTGGAGTGGACTAGAAACCATTTAAGAAGAAAAAATGAGTAAATAAAAATTAATGCTTAAGCAAAATCTTAAAACGGTTTTCAAAGTTAAGATAAAATAGAATGGAGATAAACACAGATCATATAGAAGAAAATACATACTACATAATTAAATCAGAATTTGACACACCTTGGTATGGTATGTAACTATTTTTTTTATTAATGACTGGTATTCATTTCAGAAGTTAAATATCAGGCGTATTATCATGACAGAATACTTTACTAAAATATAGAATCCTTACTTTCCATATCTAAAACTGTGTATATCACAAACTGAATGACTTAATCTCCCTACGAGTAATGCACTTTATTAGTGAACCCGAAACTCTTTAGTGAAGCTAGAACTACTAAACGACAAATAGGGATTTTGGTGATTAAACCTACTATTGTGTAAATTACTCCTCAAGACCGTGGGGACTATTATATTTTTTTAAATTACTGGTTGGGTAACTGACGTGAAATGGCTGTCTGTCGCATTTTTATATGATATTAGTCAGGCTGATTCATTTGCGGTTATAAAAAAACAACTTCTATTCTTTCTTTTTAAACTGGGAAGATCAGTTTGACGGGATAATCTTTAAGTGCTAAATTGGATAATACATCAGACAATCTAACTGTTCAAACTAGACTGCCATAATCAACGACCTCAAGAGCGAATTCAACACGAGTAACTGGTCTCCCTTAGTCTCAAGGTAATTATGACTTTTTTTAAACCTGATTGAGTCGACGAAAGGGTTTATGTCGATACTTTATTTAGGCTGTTGGTAAGAAGGCGGTAATTTTGAAGTAGCTATAGACCAGTTGAACTATCACTCTAATTATTCTACACATCGTTCCAATAGTCTGGCTGTTTTTACAGCTTGTTCACCGAGTTGAGAAGCTGAAAGTTCCACCTAAATGTCTTTTAGCTTTAGTTAATATATCTACTAGCCTACCCACTAAAATAATATCTGAGCGTTTAACTTTCTGAAAATAGTCTAAAAACCCATATAATTTATATTTCATTGCTTTTCAACGAAATTTATTCAAGCAAAATTTACCTATGTATAAAAGTGAGTTTTAGATGTCGGCAATCATATTTATCACGGTAATAAATAATGAATTTCATAATTTTAGATAACAGCAAGTATTTTTATATAGAACTTACATTTGGTTGGTGAGTCAAATACTACTGTGTCAGGGCTCGGTGCAATAAGATGATTTTTAAAAAAGCTATGAATTCTATTCTGAATCTCATCATCACACTGAAATTTTGTGGAAAGAAAAGAACAATAGTGAAAAATATTACTTTCATTATAATATTTAGAAGTTAATGGACAAAATTATGTAGCATTCATATCATTAAGTTGATAGGTGGTGGAGGCAGAGACAAATGTGACCAAAGTACAATTTATCCAATCACAACATAGCAAGTTGGAAATTAGATTTGTTTATTGATGTATGTATGATTGTCAAAACTGGTCAATCACACAAGTATGGAAAGTAGGTGCAAGGTGGTCAGTTACAGTAGTTTAAATGTAATTATTAGTTTTTAATGAAGGAAACTCATTTTAAATCAGATAAGATGAGCCTTGTGGTAGTTTTGAATAAACACAATGGGTAATTTTTGTGTTAGCTCCGTACTTGTCGAGACCTTATCGCCGGAGACGGATATCCGTGGGACAAGGCGAGGTGTGCATTTTTAGGGTCGACATTTTCTAACCCCACACCTCCTTGTCGGAAGGCAGCACCGCTGTCATGCTGGTTGTCTGAAGGAAACACTTTACTGCCGTCACACCTCTGTACAGTCAGCAGTATGACTTCGCCTTCGGACCTTCAGTTTGTTGCTTTTAGTGTTACCGCTCTTCAACCGACCTGTCTGACATGGTAGGACCTTGAGGAACGGTTGTTCCAGCCAGTATAGCTCGGTTGCTTCATCACGATAGGCAAGCCCGACCACCACGTCAAGGTAGCAACAACGGTCGGGGAATAAACACAAACAAAATTAGGTTTAATGCTGTAGAATAGCATGCAAATTAGCGGGGCGACAATCGCATAAACGCAAATCTTCTTTATAAAACAACACAACAATTCAGAAGATAATTTTTTAGTCCGTAGAAATAACAAATACTTTCGTGATACATTATGCACATAGTTGTATGCATCCTAAGGTCAACAAAAATCCGTATAATGATTATCTTTTCGTAGTTGAAGAACAGGCTTCTGAAAGTCTCTTTTTTAGTATAAGAAATTATATGCAAAATATTTTTAGAATTACAACATGAACTGGAGACAGAACGGGAAACAAGTATTATATGGACAGAAATCTAGTTTGTAATGCTATAATACGAAGTAAAATCCTACTAAACTGAATAGTAATCTTTATCATTTTTAGACCACTTGTAATTACTTTAGTGCAGAAGCAGTACTCCAATAAAAGAATACTTTTCAATTTTATTACACAAGTAAACAATGAAGTGTACTGAAACTTGCCTATTAAATGTGTAATCATAGACCCAGTTTTCTATTGAGTAACAATTGAATCATTGAACTTATGGTTAAAGGAAGTGTTACTTTACAACCTCAGTTATCAAAACATTTTACTTATATTTTCAAGTCCCTTGATCGACAATTGAAGCTAAATACGATAACATATCTGACACATTTTTATGGTACAAAAGTTTTAAATAATTTACTGACTACAATGAAGACACTGAGAATTTGACTGGTGAAAAATATAAGTGTATTGTGTTAGAATTTCAGTAGGTAAACTAAGCTGCTCAATACATAAAACACAAAATAAAACATAGAATACTAGGTATAAACTGATTAAAAATATATAAACCCACAACTAGCGATCTTAACTTAGGTAACAGAGTACACTCTATGTGGTTTCAGAAATTGTGGTCTTGAATGCTGTTAAGGGTATGAGGGCGGTAATCGATTCCCGATTGCCCACACCGTGAAAGGGTTCTTTTAGAAGTACATGAAAAGGAAATTGGGTTAGAGTTGACCTTAGTGACCTGAGAGCGTGGCCGCAGTTCTCAAGTGACAACTGCTTGAGGCCGGTCACACGCGATCTTTTTGTGGGTAACTTTTATGTTAGCTCCGCACATGTTGAGACCTTACCGCCAGAGACGGATATTTGTGGAATATGCCCTGGTACGGCCGAGAGTGGGGAAAGTCCGCTCTCCCTCTCCAAATGCTCTCAAATGGCCAAGTGCCTACAACCACTGCCAGGGAAGTCCTACTCATTACCTTCTCGTGGCGAGGATGTTTTTCACGAAATTGAGAGGACGAAAAGTGAATATCCGGCTCTTTAACCGGGTTGGTGAACATGAAGAGTTCAACTATGGGAGTTGGAAAACCCTGATTCCAAACCAATGGTGTACATGGGCTCCAGTATCCTGAAGGAACAAATGGCGTATGAACCAATCGTTGGTCACCGGCTGCCATGGCCCCCTAAGAAAACCGCCTGCTTCGGTTTTGGCACCCGGATAGTATCAAAGCCCTTACACATATCAAATGAGATTTGTGTGGCGCATATGTATTTGGTGCCTCCTTGTACCAATATTTGTGTTCAAATAAATAAATATATAATCCATGGGATAAGGTGAGGTGTGCATTTCTAGGGTAAACTTTTCTAACCCCACTCTTCCTTTGTAGGAAGGCAGCATAGCTGTTAAGTAGATTGTCTGAATGAAACACCTTTCTACCGTCACACCTCTGTACAGTCAACAGTACGACTTCTCCCTTGGGCCTTGCGTTTGTTGCTTTTGGTCTTACCGTTCTTCAGCCGATTTACCTGGCGTGGTAGGACCTTGAGGAACGATTGTTCCAGCCAGTATATCCAGACTAGTTCATCAGGGTAGGCAAGCCCGACCACCACGTCAAGTTAGCAGCAACGGTCGGGATGTGGTTTCAGAGCGAACACTTCATGATTCATTATCAACTAAAAAACAGTTCATGACTTAACGATTTCTGAAGTGATTAATTTCAGTATTAAAGAGGTAGTTTCAATCTGGTTCATATTAATAGCTCAATTTGTGTTCTCGCCAGTACTCCTGGAATTCTTACTTCTACCATTATTTTCCCCTTATAACACTACTAAAGTTGTTTTAAGTCACTCATCAGGTACAAATTCGTGTACTCGGCTTCGAATCACACCTTAAGTGTGAGGGCTAGTGTGACTACTAGGTTGTCCAGGCGCAAGTAAGTAGTTGAGATTAGAATCTGAGAATAAATGGTTGAAATTTAGGCAGCCTAGAAACTGAGCCACTACTTCGCTTTTTTCTTAATCCCATGCAGGACTGCCAAATAAAGCTTCGATGCTAGGTCCACCGTTTTTAGTGAAACACAGTCAAAGAGTAAAACTTTTATGACAACTTACTGACGTGATAATTCATGATGCTAAGAAACAATCGGCCGGTTATTTTAGATATATGATACATGGTTAAAGTCCTTGCAAAATAATAAACAAGTGAATACTACTAAGTAAACTTATACCTTTAATAACCTAACATACCTGAGTATCCAGTTTCTCTTGAAGTTTCAATTGTAGTATTGGATTTTCGTCTATATCAGCAGGGAACAATTCTCCCTGAATGTCAGGAGATAAGATAAAAGGTGTCTTGATTCTGTTGGGAGTTGTTTTCCTTGAACCACTTTTGCTAATCGGACTGGGATTGTAGGCAAATATTCCTGGGCTGAAGTTCACTTGTTCAACACGACTGAGAAATTCTTTATGGAATGGATTAAAAATCAAACCCCCAGATGGAGTGGTTATTCCGAATTCTTCACCATATGGGCATATTTTTACTGGAGTACCGGCTCCAGGATTTTCCATTTACCTATAAAACAAACAGAAGACATTTTAATTTAACGTAAATTTATGACGCAACATTAAATGTAACATATACAGGCGTAAAACTCACTGAAAGATAGACTATTAAATAGTTAAAATCCAGTATTTCTGACTGGCTTTAAATTGTCACCGAATTGTTATGTAGGAAAAGATTATCTTTGAAGGTTACACGTAATACGTTGAGACCAAACATATATACACAAGGAATGACACTTCTGTGAGCTAACTGATACCACACAATCAGCAACCTAAAAATAAGGATCCGGAAACTTATTTTTAAGACATTATATAATGACAGTTAGCAAACAATTAAAAACCTATCTCAACCGAATGAAAGATGAAGATTATTTTGTGTGCATATTAATTTTACACACTACACTTCTCAAAAACATGAAAAAATATACTAAAAGTCAGTGGGCAAAAAGAAGACTTACAAGTCAAGAAAACTTTATTTTATTACATACGAGTACAAAGCCCAATGATCACATTGATGAATGAAACTGATTAGTCTAAACTCAGGATTGATTAGATTTTTTTCCAATCTACAGTAAACTATTCTGCGCGAATAGTGAGCATAACATAAGCCAACCACCTCTGTTAACGTACGTGAAAGCCATGGTGAGTGGCTTATTTACCTCGTTTAACACCATTTTTTTGGCCACGATATTCGGAAATTATATAATTATTGATAATAGTATTTAAGTAAAAAAAGTGCTGCAACGATAACAAATGAATTATCAATGAGCAGGCAGGTATTTATTCAACTTCAGGTGTAGTCAAATGTCGCATTAAATTGAAATGTATGTGAACTCTAAGAACCCTGAATAAAAACCGATTAATTTATAAAATAGAGATTATTATTCCATTGACCTATTCACTATGGGACATAGGCGCTTTGATGCAAAAGTCTGGTGGATATATCATTAATATCTAACATTATCGAGACTCTTATTCATTTGTAAGACAAATTTCGGTAAGAATACTAAAAAAAAATTAAATTATGAAAAAGGAAAAGTCGTACATTTAATAAATTAGTATAGTTGTCAGTACAAGATACTATTCATCTAAAAATACAAACGGTGGAAACTTCGATCGTAGGAAACAATAGAATCAGAATGAGCTTCTATTTCGAGCCGTATTTGATAATTTCTCGAGCCGCTGAGTAACATGATTTTTAGGACTTGAATAATGACTCCATGATGCATGACAGACACCAGTTTTATACACCTATCTTGTTTCACGGATTCACTTCATAAAACAGCCATCTTTTGGCTTTTCCTACTATCCGTGTCGGGAAATAATGAGCGATGTGAAAGCCATTGAAATGGAATTTGTAAATCATGACCAAGCCACCTAATAAGCTAATTGACTTTAGTGCTATCAACATTTGTTCTAACCCGTATTGGGAAACCCTCGGAGATGGCTACCCTCGATTTAGAAGTCAGACCTCCCAAGTACGAAATAGAACTGCACTCATCGATGTGTTGTAAAACTGACGATGTACAGTCAGAATGAACCCACGACTGTCTTTAAATCCAATAGTAGGATCGATCCTGTTCTCCTTAACCAGAAGTTATCATGTCTGCGAGTATGTAACCTTTTCTAGGGACGTTTCATTTCCTGCTTTTAAGTGACATGGGTTTCTGTAAAAATGAGGTGAAAGTGGACGTCAGAAGCATGAGCCGGATTAACAGAAACGGAAGATCCGTCTAAGGAAGTTGGGAAACCCTAATTCCAAAGCAATGGTGTAAGTAGGGCCTTGGATATCGAGGACACGAATAATATGCGAACCTGCTCTGGTTACTGCCTATTATGGAACTCCATCCCGGGAGTTATATTGCCTTACACATTCTATGCCTACATCTAACCTTGCGATTGTGGGGATCAACTCAGTTGGGGTTTTCTGGACCTTTTCCGACAGCTCATTGCCTGTTTTTAAACAGGGGCTGCCTGTCAGTATGAAATACTCATGTGTTGGTCAAACGAACTTAGTTGGAAAATTTCCAAAATCCGTGTTTCTATAGGTTATACGTACTGACTAGAGGGTTTTAGAACTTTTGGCAGCTGTTGGACGGCGTTGTACTTTGGTCCTCGAGTCTTGATCGACAAGCACTCCTAAAGCAGTGCGTCTGGATAAGGGGTAGCTCAAAATTATTTCCCGTGTATGTAGCCATACCCTGGTGATCTACATGCACCAATTTACACCAGGAAACATTAATCGACGATCAGATTTCCATCTAAATATTTGACTAACTCCTTGCGAGTCATTTTTGGAATACTGACAACTATGATACAGTATAGTAGTTTCTAGGTTTACATTTTGACCCTGTTTCAAAGATACGACTCACTAATGTTTTCCCAGTTTCTGGATAATTCACTTTGGGTTACAGATGGACCAAAGTAAAGACTTAAGGGATTTGCAATAAAACGACGAAGTCCCTTTAGTAATCTAGAATCAGTTCATGGGGTCCCACAGGTTTTCTTACATCAAGCTTATGTAACATATCACAGGTTACAAGTTTATTAATTGTAAGGATTTATTTTTACCTGGGGAAAAGGCGTCTCTACATTATAAACATTGTTCACGTAGTTTGAATACCCGGGCTTTGTCTTAGACATCTCTAACTGGCGATGTCATAACACCACGTTTATATGATGCTGGGGTACAGACCTACTCTTTGTCCTTCGGCTCATAAGAAGATATAAGTGCCTAGGGCATTGTACAGAATCTTTACCACAATTTTATTTACACTTCCTTCTAGAATTATATACGGCCAAGAAACAAATATTTCTGTCATTTTATACTAAGATATAGTTTCATCAAAGCCTAATAACAATAGTCAGTCAGTCATATACAACGTAGGACCAGAAACATATATGCATCAGTCCAAGTTGCCACATTTCATTAGCACAACAAGATAAACACCGAATTCATAGAAGCAGTTAACTCAGTGGTAGCAATATATAAAAAAAGATTGCAATAAGGATATAGTACAGGAAGAAAGAATTAGTTTGTAGAAAGAAATGTATAAAGCAATTTTAATCTCACAGTTTAAGGGAAAACAATGAGTGTATAAACCTATGCCAGTTTGATCGATTCTGAGTAGTGTCACCCAGAGTCTCCAACCATTGGTTACGATAGTCGTGCGGACTCCAACCAAGTAGTCTGCATCCACCAACATGGCTCAGACCAGAAGTTAGTGACTTCAAGGACTGATGCCACGTTTTGGTTTGGTCACCCCTAACTTTCTTCCAATCATCTCCAGCACTAGTCAGCATTGCACGTCGTGGTAAACGGTGTTTAGGCATGTGTAGCACATAAAATAGTTTACCCACACATTATTTTTTCTTTTGCAGAGAGGGGTACGAAGCTCATTACTGAACCATGATAAAAAGTCTCTTGGTTTTCCTTAAATCCTTCAAGGTACATAATGATGTAACCCTGCCTGTAGCCCTTCTAGGGTTAATGCCAGTCCCAACAGTAGATAAACGGGGAGGGTTGGGTGAGGGGTCAGAAATGCCATCCATAGAAACACAGCCTTGCTAAAAAAATGCTAACCAAAAAACTCACTTGAACCATTTAAACTCTGACCTGGGAGTTGAAGGAACTACATTCAGAAAAATTATGACACTTCATTGTGAAAGCCGAGATTCTTCAGAAGTCACAAGGGCGACCAGAGCAACAATACAGATACATGGGATGTCCGGACAATGTGAGACACAAGGAGGACTAGGCGAGTAGCTACAGAAATGAGGAGAAAAAACTTGGAAATTCTCGAAATAAGTGAAACCTATCGAACTTAAGCTGGATAGAAAAGATAAGCTTCGAAAGAGATGCTGTTGTACTTAGGTTATGAAGAAAATGCTTTGTACGTAATGCTCTTTAAAGAAACACAAAGAGCGCTTATAGGATGTGAATCTCATCGATCCAGAATCACCAAACCATCCTTTAAAACAAAGAGAGGATTACAATGAAGGTTATCCAGAGCTATGCCCCCACCGGACATTGAAACAACACAAACAGACATTACCACAGCTTTTAACCCATCAACAATCGAACAGATTGGCATGACTACCAGACAAATCAGGAGTGGGAAAGCAGCTAGACCAGAAAACATATCAACCTAAGTACAGAAGTCAGATATAGAAGCAACTGCAAAGATGTTCCACGCTCTATTCAAAAACATTTAAGAGGAAGAATAAGAAGGGACATACTGGGATGGATGCCTCATGATCATACCCAAGGAAGACCTCAGCAAGTGTGAAAACTACAGAGGCATCACACTACTATAAGTATCAGGAAGTTTTCAATAAATTATTATTGAACGGAATGAAAAACTCAGTGCACGCTCAACTTCAAGATCAACAAGCCGAATTTATACGACGGACTACACTGAAAAATCGTGCATGTAGGACAGCTGCATTCCAAGTGAGGACCGGAGTCAGAAATATCTGCTCACTATATCCCTTTCTTTTACTTTTGGTGATTGACTGTATTATGAAGATCTCCACATCTTAGGGAAAGCATGAAATACAATGAACAAACTGCATGCATCTGGACGATTTGGCCTTCGCTATTGACCTGGTTGTTCTTTCTCATGCACATCAACAAATGCACATGAAGACAGCCAATCACCCAATCTCTTCAGTAGTAGGCCTCAACATACACAAGGGAAAAAGCAAGATCATAAAATACAACACGGAAAGCATCAACCCAATCACACTTGATGGGGAAGCTTAGGAAGAGGTGGAAAGTTTTACGTACCCAAGCAGTATCAACGATATACAAGGGAGATCAGATACATATGTGAAGGCTAGGATTGACAAAGCAAGAGTAGCATTCCTACGACAGAAGAACATCTGGAACTCAAGACAACTGTTAGACAACATCAAAGTTACAATCTTCAAAACAAATATCAGAACAGTTCTACTGTATTGAGTCGAAACGTGGAAAACTACTGCAACCATCATCAAAAATATACTGGTATTTACAACCAAATGTCTACGCAAGATACTCAATGTCCGGTGACTGCATAGCATCAGCAACAACCTAGTTTGTCAAAATACCACCTACCAGCTGAATAGAAAATTAGGGAAAGATTCTCGATGAGTAGGACATGCATTGAGTAAATCTACGACAGGTGCACGAGTCCTCTAAGATCAAACATCGACTGATAATAAATCAAGTGTTGAGTGACTGGCAATGTATCAATTACCTCATATTTGGGGCTACAATAAACTAAACTATGCAGCAGCTCTTGTTCCCTCCATTTCAAGCGACAACTAAGTCTTACATTTCACTCTCATGAGATATGGTATCAATAACAGTAAAGGAAGCAGTATCCAACAAATAAGGTAGATCATGCTTTACACTTGTGGGTTTTGCCAACCTTTAGTTACATGGAATTTTCAGAATTAAGTTACTTATCGTATACAGATTGGATCAGCAACGTTCCTGTCACGGCGAATACATCCAGCATGAAAGGGTCCATTTGTTCACTTACCTACGATCGCTTGTCAAGTAGACTAATTTAATGGCACTGTGCTGCTCTAAAAGTGATTTTGAAGCGTTATCACTCAAAATTCACAAATTTGAGATTCATTTTTCACCAGCTTCTAATTTCAGCCTCGTATTGTTCAGCACCTCGTCTTTTCACATAGCCAGCGAGAGACGAGCCTTTTTGAACCAGAAACCCTGACTTTTCAGCTTATAACCATTACGCAGAGAAGAAACAGTCAAAGCGAGTGCAAACAATACAGATACAAAGGCTAGCAAATGCGTCATTACTTCCTGTAATTAACTCATTTGAAGTAAAAAGATAGTCCTTATACGTTACCGACGAAAAATTGAAAGTTTTACTTGATTGTGAACAACAGTTTTCTTTTCCTTTTGAAATAGCACTGAAAGTAGTGCAAGAATATCTACTTAATACGTTAGACTACTAGGAATATTTCATGGAATGCATATTCCTTCAAGACTCAACACAGCAATCGAAACCCCATATACATTTCCAGTTTGGGAACCCCCTTTTTCCTGATTTTTATTTCAGTTCCGCGATACTGGGACAATATATAGTTCCCAAATTAGATGAGAGAAACAACTACAATTATCAAGACCGGCAAACAAATGAAAAGCCTTGAATTAAAGCTCATCAGATGGTTCCTGTACTTATAAGGGTTTCAACATTACAACAACTCGAAAGACGTTTGCCACCTCGCACTTCCACTATAAAACCTAAATGTGCGCTTTATCACAAATCCTAAATACGCGCATGCCTTGATAAACAAAGTTTCTGATTCGACATAACAAATACTACGACACTGCTTCGAAAATTGTTAACACTGTCAGGACTGTATTGTTAGATAAGAAACCTCATTGCCGTAGAAATATAATTGAGATCAGTTCCTGAATTGTTTAACCCACCCTTCTATCCATCTCTCTGCAAGTTTCACAAAACTCCCATCTTTTCAGGGAAATAAAATGCAATCATACACTGAGCTTGAAGGTGTGAACAGGTATGGATTGTAAACAGATTCAAGAAAACCTTAGAAGTCATTTTTACTACTTTCATTGAACTATCATGAGTCTACCAAGTGCTATTCTTGGGTAAACAGCACTTCTCACGAAGGACACCACATACGAATGGCAGCTATTCCTCGTTATATAGAATATTTCGTGACTAATATCTAATCATATACTTATAATTGCGGCTTTCCGCACCCCTTATAAAACTCCTAATGTGTCAACAACGTTCCGACAGATATCTAGGCGGCTATCGAAATGTTGCAGCTCAAAACGAACAGTACATGACCAGGACAACTGTACGAAGCTTTCTTATGGTCGGCCTGCAGTGAAAAATGTCCAAGTTCATCTCTCTTTAGAGGGGGGGTCGAGATGACCAACCAATTATTACATTGTATCGCTAATATTACTTACGAAATGTGTGTTTTGGTATGATCTTTGTGAGTAGTTCAAAGAAGATTCTTGCTGTATAAAGAAGAATATTGTGCTTGGTTTAGCCAAATTAGTCTTGGTTTTCTTGAATCGTTTTCTGCATTCAGAAGGTATCTATGGATTTTGATCACTACAATTGTATTAGGGCGATAGGATAAGATTGGTGGTCAAAGGATGAGCATTGTGGTAGAATAGTAGGAATTCAGAATCTCAATTTAATGGACTGTGGTGTTTGAATGAACTGATGATTTCTTTGTACTTGTTGAATGCTTGATTTCGAATTCAAAATACAGTACATTCGTTTGTGCCTATCTAGTACTTCTTGATCCGATTACGTTATTTCTGGGATTCCTAGCTCATACTATCATTCAAATAATTCAAAACATTATATTGGCGTCGCGATGGAGCCTGCGATGGAAAAGTTAGGTATTCACTCAACTTATGAAGCTTTTGAGGGTTACTTTGAAAGGTTCGAAATCTGGGCTATGACTAAGGAAGATGATGAGGATGTTAATATTGTAGCCCATTTCCTCACATTCATCGGAAAAGAAGCATATATCTTATTAAAAACTCTGGCTATGCCGGAAGAACCCATTCCGCTTCCTTATACAGCTCTCAAGGAACTACTGCTAGACTATGCTCAGTATACAAATTTCGAATGCGGTAATGGAGGAAGATCTCGTTAAATGATTCATGAGGATATAAAACATTCCACTACATTACGTCACCCCAACCCAATCCATACTCAAAGTTATGCAGATAATTCATTGAGGAGTTGCGATGCAGTTCGTGAAGATGGGCACAAGTTTGGTCAATGTTTGTCTTGTAGCAAGTTCCACTCTTTTAATTCATGTAAATTTCGTAATTCTAAGTGCCTTAAATGTGGTGGTATTGGACATATTCAGTCAGTCTGTAATACCAATATCCATCTTATTGCAACTTACATTAAGTCTTGTAATCCTGATTCTACTAAGTCGAGTATTTATAATGATGATTTATCTTTGTCGACGATTGCAATAGACAGTGTAGAGTTGTAGTGGCATTGGACCATAACCACACAATCCTCAAAGCTGAACATGAGACAACTCGGGAAATAGATATTCAATATTTAACGCGGAGAAATACCTAACGATGGAGAAGGCGGGAAGAAGGTATTGAATGAATTAGAGTTGATCGAACGGCATGGCTCGGCTATGCAGGCGTGGTCCCTGCTGAATGTTATCTTATATCTTCTATTCATATTAAATATATTGTTCTTTCTCTAGCCTAACCTTGTTCTACATCATGTATTGGTAATTGATACGATACAGTGAGTTGGCGTAGTCGATGGTGTGACTTCCACGTAAGATCTTATAGATTAGGCAGTTATATCATGACAAATCTACAATTTTAGAATTAGGTCTATTATTAGAGCAGTACTAATACCATAGTAGACCATAATTCCACAGAGTCACATAGCAGTTCAGAGTCAAATGAAACTCAGAATTCTTGCGAGACAACAGTTTCGAACCAATCGATTTTTCAGATTTCTCATGTTATTGTACCAAATATGGATTTTCCTAATAATTCACATATCTCTGATGAAATTTCTTACAAATCTGAAAGAAATATGTTGAGTGAACATAATTATGATCAAAGACCTGATGCAGTTTTGATAGATGCTAATTTTTCTAATGATCCTTTACTTTGCAATGACATTCTTAATAAATTTGAGGAAACTATTTCAGAAGAGTCAAATCGTGATGTTCTATCAAATATCATCTGTCCTCTTAATGCATTTGTTTCTTGTGGGAAACTTGTTCAATGCGAATCACGAGTATTAAATGAGCTCGATTCTGATTACAATTCAGGTGATTTCATATCAACTACTGTTTATCTGTAGAGTTATGGTCTACTATGGTATTAGTACTGCTCTAATAATAGACCTAATTCTAAAATTGTAGATTTGTCATGATATAACTGCCTAATCTATAAGATCTTACGTGGAAGTCACACCATCGACTACGCCAACTCACTGTATCGTATCAATTACCAATACATGATGTAGAACAAGGTTAGGCTAGAGAAAGAACAATATATTTAATATGAATAGAAGATATAAGATAACATTCAGCAGGGACCACGCCTGCATAGCCGAGCCATGCCGTTCGATCAACTCTAATTCATTCAATACCTTCTTCCCGCCTTCTCCATCGTTAGGTATTTCTCCGCGTTAAATATTGAATATCTATTTCCCGAGTTGTCTCATGTTCAGCTTTGAGGATTGTGTGGTTATGGTCCAATGCCACTACATATCTTTATCACAAATTCACTTCCAATGTATACTCTAATCAATGTGAGAAATATGTTTTAAATGAAGCCACATTATTCATAACTTGGGGATATAATGATCCGACATTATTTCGTGATGGAGGATAGTGTTAAAAAATCTATGGTTCGAATTCTAGATAGTAATGATTTCATTACAAAATCGACATGCTGATTGTATATAATTCCAGGTGGGTCTGTTCCGATTTAAGTTGTTAATTCTCATACTACTGAGTGTATTCTAAATAATACAGAGTTTTTATCCAATACAATGTCGGACAGACTCAGGATGAACTTAAGAAGAAGACGTACAACCTATTACAGACAATTATATTCCATTTTAAGCTGTGGCGGATGTGGTGCTTGAATTAACCAATGATTCTTTTGTACTTGTTGATTGATCGATTTCGAATTCTAAACACAATACATTCGTTCGTGCTTGTCTAGTACATCTTGATTCAATTGCGTTATTTCGGGAGTTCTTAGTTCGTACTATAATTCGAATTATTATACAGCCACATGCTTCGTCCGATCTTATAATGCTTAAATGGTTATAAATTTGTGTAGGTTTGACACTTCTAGATTCGTCGCACTACTTACTCAGGCTGTTACTGACTACAATCTTAGGGCTTTTCCGCCACGGGAAATTCCACAGGTTGTTTACAGAGATCCGTTCTCTAAGCTAGTGTTAGTTGGAGTCCAGCACGTAGTGGGACTCTGAAGTCATTGCCTCTCTGACCTCTTTTAGTTCATTTCTCTTCTTCCGGTAGATCGCATAGGTCTTTGGAACCGTTGCCAAGAGCTATCACGAATTAGCTAAGCTGATTAGCACATTGAAGAAAGTCTGCACTTGACTTTCACAGTATTATTTATCAACTATGCGCCTGAGCGAAACAGGCTCTCAAGAATAAAGAAAATTAAAAATCACTCCACAGGCTTCGACAACTGAAATGTACCTATATAGTCTCTTGTCACACTATAGAAGCGAGAATTCTAGCATGAAATTATTGGTGCACACGAGTGGGGCGCCCATTATCATCCCTAAGAATAGAACCTATCTGAGACGACTGACTTAACCATCTGCACTTAAACCTGTCAAATAAACGAAGACTTCAACATCTGGGCAAGTGATTTTGATACTAGATCGAGGGTTTGAAAGATACTTCGCCTTGATGTTCACTATGTCAAACTCAAACATCTTAGGGAGATACAAATCTTTGGTCTGTACCAAAAAGAACGCCGTTTATCATTCAGTGAAACTTTGAGCTTCACAGGTGACAATAAAAGTACACATTTCAGGGGTGACAACTGAAAGGTTTCGAGATAAACATGCAGAGATTTTAAATTTAACCAAAAGAATCCCTTAGACCTACAAAGTCAGCCAAAAACAACGCACGAAAATAAAACTCATGACACTTCTGTGCTTAAATGACACAGGAGATTAGTCGTCGGTAGACTTAGAATCACTGAATGCGAATTCGAACATATTCTACAGTTGAGCATTCTCCTCTCCTGCAACAAATTAAAGACATTAAACACGCGATCCCAATATAGAGACTATGCAAACGTTGACTGGGAAGACTTTCGATTTCTAATAAAGCACTCTGACTGGGGCAGTTTCTTTACCAGTATTAACCTCTTAGAAACATTAGAAATATTTAATACCATCACCAAATCTGCACTAGACACTACTATACTCTCTAAAATTGGTTTTAAAACAATTACTCCCTATATAAACCAAAAGACTAGGTCCAAACTGCGAAAACTGAAAAGGATGTACTATATATCAAAAGACTTCAGTGCCCTGCACCAGATATACTCTGTACTTGACGGAGTACAAAGTCAACACAACAATCATAAACAGGTAGAGGAACGTACTGCTCTCGCTGCTGCGTCTAAAGCCCAATCCCTATGTCGTCTCCTCACGGAACGCATGAGAAAGAACACAGACCACAACATTCACTCCTTACTAAACGATCGAGTAACGTATAATGACCAAA